ATATTCCTTTCCCTTCCTCCCTTTTGGTCCGCACTTTAACTGTCGGAAACTGCACGCCCTCGCCCAGCACCGCTATTCCAACTGCCGCGAATCCGCGTAACACTTCAGCAATTTCCGACTGCGAATCCCTCGCGAAGAATCTTCGCGCCTTCGCCTGTTCCGCTCGCTAATCCGCGCTAACCGCGAAACTTCCTGTCGCGGCTGCAAATGCCTCGAACTCAAAACCCTCTGCGTCGCGAATCCCCCCACCTGTTCGCGAATCCGACGCAACTCCTTCGCCCGAATCGCAGAAGCCGCCGAACTCCTCCCGTGTGTCCGAATCCTGCGAACAATAACCGAAGCCTCAAACTGAAGCCCCTCTCGTGCGTCCGATCCTCTGCTGAACACCTCCGCGAAACCCTTCGCGAAATCCAACTGGTGTCGAAGTTCTTCTCCGAACTGAACACCTTTGCGGCGAATCCTCTTCCTCTTCCTTCTTCTTGCGTCGATTTCCTCCTTTTTTTTCCCTCGAAAGAGACTCTGATACCAATTGTTGTGAAATTTAACGGAATAAAACAGGAATCGACACAAATCAGAAGAAGAACACAGAGATTTAAATTACTGTCAAGAATATTGTTGCTTAATAGAAAAACTTTAATCTCAAAATGCCTCAAGCCTTAAAAAATTTTCGTTAAAAAATCATGTAAAGGGAAAGATCACACTGATAAACTTAGTCAAATAAATCCACTATATAATTGAAGGCACATAGGTCAACTATTTTCTTTAACCAGAAAGAATGAAAAAAACAAAATTATGTTGGCATCACAATTTCTTTGAAAAAATAATACGACCATATTGTAAAATCGTAGCTTGACGAGGAAAGTTTTAGTGGGGCTACAATAGCTTATCTTAGCTAGAACAACTATAGTTGGGCGACAACAATCGTGGTTACACTATAGATGCCACTATTGGTAATTGACAATTGCTAGTAATTATTGATCTTAAACTTCTCTTCAAGACATGTACTTCAATCGTCAGCTCACCATTCCCTTCCCCTCTTCCTTCATGTGAAGTGTGGTTGTTTTTTGTTTTTAATTTGAGAGGGGTATTTTTGTAAATTTAACAAATTTCCTCATACTGATGATATTTATACGTGTAAAATTAAAAGTAAAAAAAAACGTTAGTATTTGTTTGATTCACAATTGGCCAAAAATGGCTTTTTCATAAAGGAAATCGGGATAGAGACATGGATCCCATTTTTAAAGCCAGAGCCAGAGCCGAAAATGACGGGATAAAGCTAAGCAACGACTAACAACCCCTAACTTAATTAACCCGGGCTTCAAAATTATTGAATCTATTCATAAACAAGGGAAAGGGAAATCACACCCTCCTTTCTCATCAACCAAACAGACAGTCCCACCCAAAGGGACTTCCTAAAGCACATCATGAACTTATAAATTAGTGAAACTTGAGCCTAATTACTCTATTATTTTCTAATTTTGCTCTTTCATCAAGGTTTCATCATTAAATAGACTGAAAATAGCATAGAACTGATATTAAATGCGTGCTTTAAAAATTTACATTATATTATATGGGTGTGACTGCCACCGATAATCGAAGTGTATACAGATATTAAATAATTCTAATGTTAATATTAATTTCCAAGAAAATGATTAGTATCTCACTTTTATTTCCTTCAAATGCAGACGAATCAAATTATTTCATTAGCTCCTTTTAGGGGACTAAGTGAGCCAAGCCTGCTTGTGAGCTGGCTCAGGCTTGACTCAATATGTGGGTTGTGAATTGAACTCAATGAGTTAATAAAATAAGCCAAGCTCAAGCATGTCCTGATTGGACTCGTTAGCTTGAACAGGCTCGTCTAAAAAATAATTAATAAAAATATATATATAATAAATTAAAATTAAAAAAAAAATCTTTGAATTATTAAAAATATTCAAAATTTGATTTTTTTTTAAAAATTTACATCAACTGACTTCTCATTAATTAACTTCTAAATATTCATTATATTTGTCAATTAATTATAACATTAGCTTAAATTAATATTTTTTTTCTCTTTCATGCTAAACAAGACGGCTCGTGAGCCAACTCGAACTTATAGAATTAAATTCTGAGTTTGAAATTTGATTGAATTAATGTATCTGGTTTATGAATGCACTTGTAGGAAGAATCATTTGATATATATTTTTGATAAATTTATAATCAAAATATTACTTTCATGTGACAAATCAAATTGCTTAAACAATATCTTGATTCAAATTTAAATGAATATAAATAAAAAACTAAAATATATTTATAAATTCTTATGATATTATCTGAGGGAATAAAAAATCTCTAAATGTTGTTTGCTTACAATTAAAATGTTATTAAACTATTGAAATGTAGAAAAAAAAAGTATATGATCAACACAAGCAACACATCATTTAATGAAATAGTTCACTAAAATAATGAGAGTTCTACATTAAAATTTTTTAAATAGACTTTAATTTACACATTAAAAAAATATGGAATGAATGTAAAAGAGAGCCCATAAACTTTAAGAATCCAAAAGCTTTTCTAGACATCAAAATATAACAATAACCTCCATTGCTCAGCTATCCTCTCTCCATCAAGGTCACCTTCCATCAAATAACAATATTGATGCAGATCATTGCTCACAAAATTGATGCAGACAATTAATATCCACACCAACTCATGTCATTACATGCCAATTATCTACATGAATGTAGAGATCCGTCATTGTCAATAAAATTTATACATATCATCGACACTAATATCAATTTTAACATTTATTATAGCCAATAGTATCAACACTCAATATCACGAACAAGCCTATTATAGACTATTGACGCCAATGTGGGTGTATGGCTTGCTAATAAGGTCTATACCTATTATTACAACATGTAACAACATTGATGCTTGCTAATTTTTCTGCTCACCATCCTTAATAATATCATTATCCATCATCTCTTACAAGGTAAATGCATATAATCGACATCAATATTGATTCTTGCTAATGTCAGTAGGGTCATCACATGCTTTACAAATAATATGTGTTTGTGTCATCAATAGGTCGATGCACATTATCGACCTTGACACTTATGTCTTAATGTCAATAAGATCATCATCATCATCATTATCATCATCGTCGTCGTCGTCGTCATCATCACGAACACCATCAGCCCCTATCATTATTAATACATAAAATGCATTTGTCAGCACGAACACCAATGATGATGGGATAAAGCTAAGCAACTACTAACCACTCTAAATTGAATCTCAAGAGTTTTAGTAAAGTTAATATATATGTTGCCCACCATAAATTCATGAGTTACACTTGAAACTTCATTGAAACTAAACCGGAGTTATTAAGCATTAATCTAAATTAAAAAAAAAAATAGATAATTGAACTCAATTTTAATTATATCAAATTAAAACCATTACCTAAAAGCATTATTATAACATTATTTAGTGGGGACCTTTCACTAAAAGAGCATGTGCGGCACATGTCCTATTGCTTTCCATGTGAATAAGAGCAGGTTCTGTTGATCGGCAGGAAAATAGTGTCTGTGATATGCAAGTATTGTTCTCTAATTTTTCTTTGAAAAAATCTTGATGTCTGCTTTTTGATTGCAGTAAAGTCTTTTTATATTTTAATTTTTTATAAATTGTTGGGTAAAGTTATTCAAAAAATTATGGCAAAAAAATTGCGGTTTTAATTTGAATATTTGTTTCATTTTTTTTTCATAACGGTGCTAAGATGATTCCTAATTAACGACTTCATTTTTTGAATATTTCTTCTCAAATTCGCAAAGCAGCAACAGTACAAATTAAATATAGCAAAGCTTTGCTTGTAAGAAAATAAGTACAAATAAAGTTAGTCTAGAATCCTTTTTATTTATATGATCCAATATGTTGTTTTCAAATAATTATACATATCTTTATATATATATATA